CCCCAACATGATGCTCATGGACAGGCCCTCTGAACCTGTCAGCCTTGGATAAACTCTTTCTTCCGTAATTTGCTTTGGTCATAGGGTTTGGCCATGACAATAGAAAAGCAACTAACACAGTGGGGAAGGGCATTGCCATTATAGCTTTCTTTTTTCTGTTCTTTTAAAAAACTTTAAAAAAAATATTGTTCTCTCATATGTTACATCCAGATCACAGTTTCCTCTCCCTCCCCTATCCCTAGCCCCTCTGGACCTCCCCTCAATTTCCATTCTAATTCTTTTATCTCTAATTTTATGTATATATAATTTTACTTATTCTTTGATAATTTCACACGTGTATATATAATATATTTTGATCATATCCACCATCTGCTTCCTCTAGACCCACCTCATTTAATTATCTTTCCCTTGGGCAGGTGTTTTTTAGGTAATTGCAGCCCCATCAAGTGCAGGAGATAGCATTTCAAGCTCTCTTCCCCTTCCTCTAGTTTTTACATTCTATCTTAAAACTTTTTAGTTATGTAAAAATCTGTTACAATATGTATGGTATAAAAATTTCCACGCATAACACATGGCTGAATATTAGCTGTGCAAAAAATGTAGACAGCTAAAAGAGTCCTTATATTACTGTAGTTTGTTTCTTAGTGTATTTGGTAATTTGGTATTTGGTAATTATCTCTATCCAGTTATTACTGTAAATTAGAAAATCTGGTGGGTACAAATGGGGAAGAGTGACACTGAATTACAGTTTTAGGCATTTCTAGTTATAATTTCTGCTTGCTATTTTTCTACCCTTGAAGGAAGGAATCGATTTATTTAGTACTTAAACCCCCCCCCCCCGGTTTGGCACACAGGTCATCCCTTCTCCGGTGCATTTTGTTTAAAAACAAAACAAAACAAAACAAAACAAAACATTTTCACGTGTTGGAGCTGCCCATGTTTTGACGTCATAGCTTACCAAATCTGAGTTGTAATAGATGATAGGCAACAGCTACTACACCTGTTAGGTACTAGACAGTCGACTAAAGTCACCAGAATTTATCCCAAGAAACTTTCACCCTTGCTGCAGGATTTGGCTACTGCTGCTGCCCTCTGCTGGCTTACCAGAATCTGCAACAATCAGGACATCTTTTTGGACCATCCTTCATCCTTTTTCAATCCGGTCAACTGGAAAAGTCTCACTTTCTGCTGAACTTAGGCAAATGGCCATTCTCTTCTCTATAACTTTATGTTGTTTAGTTTATTTACTTTAACTAGTTTTTACAAAGGTGTGTTGTCCCGTGTCTTCAGTTCCAGCACTTGAGAGACAGGGGCAGGTGAACCTTTGGGAGCTCAAGGCCACCCTGGTAGACATAGTGAGACCTTGTTTCAAAAAAAGTTCTTATTTGTTTGTTTAGTTTTCTTGTTAGTTTGTTTGATTAATTTTTAAAACTTTTTATTGATTCATTGTGTTTCACATCATTCACCCCAGTCCCATTCACATCCAAACTTTGCCCTTGCAATGCCCCTCAAATAAAACACACAAACACGCACACTCACACACCGCCACCATCAGCACCACCAACAAAGTATAAAAAGCATCTCATCATGGAAGCTGTAGTGTGTCACAGTGTGTTCCTCAGTATACCCCTCTGTGCACACATCTTCATTTGCAAATGTTCACTGCAATGAGTCATTGGTCTGGTTCAAGATCTTTGGCTTCTGTGACACCATCTACATTGGATCCTCAACGGAACTCATCATGGTTATCCTGTCGTTGCCCTGTGTGATGGAGACTGTGGAGCTGTGGAACAGCAGGACTGGCCCTTTCACATGTCCCAACCATTCACAGATGATGTAGATTTGGGGATGGGCTAGTTAGTTCAGAGCCCTGAATGTGGGCCTGATGGTAGCTGAACTGGTCAGCCCAGTCAGCTCTCCCTTATCTACACCGTCAGGGCAAGCTCTGCATCACTGCTCCAGCAGTTGGCAGGGTCAGCTTTCCTGCTCTCATGCCCTTGGGGCTGGCTCACCTGTACCCATGCCTCAAGAGCCAGCTCCACTGTGCTGCCAGAAGAGGCACAGGGCCTCCTTTCCAGTGCTGCCACTGGTGAGAGAGAGGGCTAGCTAACCAGAGCACCACATCCAGTGAGGGGCGGGGCCAGTTATACACAGCCCCTGGACGTCTGCGTGGTCCCCAGCGGTTGTTCTGACCCAGTAATTCTCTAGTGGTAATATGAGCCATGGACATTGACATTGACCGCTGCCTCTGCATAGCCACAGACTGAGACGTGGCTCTCAGCAGTAGCTCAAGCTGGGACCTCATTATGGCCCCAGATGGCTGGGCTGGCTGCTCACAATGGGCTACTCCTCTCCACTCTTGCGTCTCCAGTTCAGTCTCTCTTTATAATGCTAGAGTTGCTCTGCTTCTCTTTCTCTCCCATCTGACCATCCTCCATCAAGCTGTGTGGCGCTGTGGCAGACAGGTGTCTATGGGGGCGGGGGGCAGACCTACGTGTGGCATGGGGTCTAGAGCTCTCTGTCTTCTTTCTATGCTTCACTGCTTGGATTTGCTTTGCTTTGGTTTTTATGAGTCCTACGCATAAGACAGCTTTGGACACCAAACCAGGCATAAAGTTAAGATGAACAGAGGACTGCCGTCTGCTCTGCAGATGACTGATAGGAGAACCCCGCCACCAACAAGGTGTCTCTTTGCCCATTGCCAGGGGCTTCGGGGAGAGTTTATTTTTTTAATTACCTTAAAAAAAAGCATTGTCACTGAAAATGCTTTTGAATTTTTGAAGTTTCAGGACTCTTCTGTGAGTGCTTTTCTAATAATTCTCTGTGCTGGAGTTGGCACCCAAGACCCTATACTTACTAGGCAAATGATACAAATCCCAAGTCCAAATTTCTCAGGTTTTTTTTTAAAGAACACAACTGTGTAGGAATTCATAACACACTTCACAGAAATTTTTCTGTTTTACCAGACAGATTGGACTGTGTGTCACCTATACTGTAAAGAGAAGGTTGGACATATCTGTTACTCAACTCACAAGCTTTGGGTTAGCTAGTTCTGAAAACTGAATTCTTTGATTCCAGCAGCAAATAAGTCCATAGGATGGCGTGTGTTCTCGACTCCAACTGATTTGGTGTGGAAGCATATTTTATAATATGCTTCCAAGTTGTACTACAAGCTTATGAGAGAAAGGAAAAAAGAAAGCAATATTCCCAGGATGAGCCACTATAGTGAAAGAATACCAAACTTTGAATCTCCCAAAACTTACTCAAAGATTTAGTGAATGCGTGATCTTGGAGGATATCCCTCCGCCTCTGCGATTCAGCTTCCATCTTGTAGAATAATGTTCACTTTGTCGGCTACCTCACAGGGATTTTGTGAGGAGTCAATATTTTCTTTTATTCTATTGTATTGTTTTTTTTGTTTTTTTTTTTTTTTTTTTAGCAGCATGATTCTTTCTGTTAGAAAGCATTTTTACTCATCTCTCTTTTTGTCTTCCAAGTCTGTCCTTCAGGATCCCAAGACATAAATTTAAAGCAAATAAAACATCAGATAGAGGAAAGATACGTAGATGGATAGATATGATATAAACATACAGCTGAAACCATCACACATCCCTACTTCCTACTTTGCTTCTCTGTTTTCACTCACAGAAAAATGATGTGTGAGTATTTATTCTTGTCATTCTGTCTCATTTCAATCAAATAAAAGGGGAAAGGAAACTTAATTAAATTTGTGAGTTGTTCTTTCTTGATGCCATTTTAGGTAAATCTGAGTTCATAGTTCTGATTCTTTGTGGGCCCCTATGTGAATTTCGTTCACCAGAACTATTCAATTCATATTTATGAAGAGCAATATTTCCTTCCCATCATTGTTGAAGCCCTCACAAAATCCCTGAATTACCTCTAAGGTGTATTGTGACTATTTCTGGACCTTCTGTATCAGCTTACTTCCAAACACATGATTGCCACAGCTGTGTGTTCTCCAGGGCTGTCAAAAGATGTTTTTGAATCGCTTCTCGGCGTTTTGACTAAGATCAAGTGTAGTATCTGTTCTTATCAGTTTAATATCTGATACGTCCTCTATCTGAGGACAATATATTAAATGGATTTTTGGAACTAGGAGTTGGAATACAAGCTTGCTCATGGGCATCGACCTGGTACCTCCAGGAACAGTGCACCCCCCCTGGAGGAATAAAAGAAAAAGATGTTTCTGAGGTGATGGTCCATAGAAACTTTGTTTGCTCACTTGATAACACGGTGAGTTTTTCAAAAGAAGGAACTGGGAAGTTAAGTGTGGTCCGTCTTGTATTTCTTGCATCTTCAGCAGATAATAGGCCAGATGAAAGAGGAGAGTTTATTTAAATCGTTGTATGTGAATTTGTGTGTGGTGTGTATGTATGTGTATTTGCTTCTGTAAATGTGGGTACACTTGGGCTCTGACTTGTGGGGGGGGTCAGAAGTCAGCCCTGGGTGTTGGTCCTTGCTTTTTACCTTGTTTGAGAGTCTGTTCTTCATTGCTGCACATGCCAGAGGAGGTTCCTGTCTCCATCTCCTATCTTATCATAAGAAAGCAGATTTACAGAGGTGGGTGCTATAGTCTTCAGCTTTATGTGGGTACTGGGGACCCAACCTCAGGTTCTCATACACATGTGAGTTCTTGACCTGGTGAGTGAACAAAGCATTTGTTGTGCAAGTGGGACAATGTGAGTTCAATATGCAGAACCTGCCTACAGCCATACGTGTTGGTACTGCAATCCCTGCAAGATGAGAAGGGGAGGCAGGAGAACTACCGGAAGCTTGCGGGCTAGCTGACCCGTGCACTCGATGGGAAGCAGAGAAACTGTCTAAAACAAGGGATTCTGCAAGGACCAATACTTGAGGTTATCCTCTGATCTCCACTGAAGCTTAGGTGCCCTAGCCCCTGGAAACACGTGAACACACACACACACACACACACACACACACACACACGGATGAATTTAAAAGGCAATGGAAGCAAAACATTGACAACTGAGACTTTATTAAATTCAAAAAGATTTACATAACAAAGTAAACAGTTAAATAAAGAGTCAGATATATAATGAAAGACGGTCTGTGCTAGCTGTACACCCGACAAAGGCTTAGTATCTAGAATATATAAATAACTTAAAAAGTAACAATAGATCAGTTAACACATGAACTAATGAAATGAATAAGGTTCTCAGACAAGGATGGTCCACACCCATGAGGATCACAATACCACAAATTTTGACATGGTATGTCATGTTATTTTAAAAAGGGGGAAAAAATAGAATGAGACATTAGAGGAAAGATCCAGGAGCTGATAAAGGGAGAAGCAAGGGCATGAATATGATCAAAATACCCTTGTATAAAATCCTCAAAGAGTGTAATTAAAATATATTAAAATTAAATATAAAATATATTAAAATATGTATTTTTGAAAGATCAACTATATAGTAAGATTTTATCTTATAAAGGAAGTTCAGCTTTTATGATGTTTTATATGCTTCTATCTTTTTTCTTTTTAATTTTCCTCTTTTTATTAATTATTATTTATTACAATTTATTCACTTTGTATCCCGGCTGTAGCCCCCTCCCTTGAACCCTCCCAGTCACGCCTTCCCTCTGTCTTCTCCCCCTATGCTCCTCCCCCAGTCCTCTGATAGCAGAGGTCCTCCTCCCCTTCTATCTGACCTTAGCCTGTGAGGTCTCATCAGGTCTGGCAGCATGTCTTCCTCTGTGGCCTGGCAAGGCTGCTCTCCACAGGAAGAGGTGATCAGAGAGCCTGGCACTGAGTTCATGCCAGAGATAGCCCCTGCTCCACTTACTAGGGAACCCACATGGAGACTGAGTCTATGGGCTACATCTGAACTGGGGTTTTAGGTTATCTCTGTGCATTGTCTGTGGTTGGGGTATTAGTCTCTGCAGAGCCCTCAGGGCCCAGGTTTTTTTTTTGGGGGGGTGTTCTGTTGGTCTCCTTTTGGAGCTCCTGTCCCCTCTAAGTCTTTATATCTCTCCCTTATTTCATAAAATTCTATGCATTCTGCCCAAAGTTTGGCTATGAGTCCCAGCCTCTGCTTTGATACACGTTATCAGTGGAGTGTTTCAGAGGCCGTCTGTGATATGCTTATTTCTTGAGGCAGAATTTGTATTAGAGTGTGAATCTCTCAGGTTTAATTGGTAATTTAGTAATGTATAATGAGAAATGATTTAGACTTTCACCTTCATATTATTACTAGATATTTCTAAAAGTTTGGAAGAGCTTCTGTATCTTTAGAGTCTCCAAATTTATTATGCTCACATTAGAAATTTATTGCTTTAAGCTTTAGTGTGTGTGTGTGTGTGTGTGTGTGTGTGTGTGTGTGTGTGTGCACAGAGGCCAGAAGAGGTCATTTGACCCCCTGTAGTTGAAATTAAACATGGCTGTGGGCCATCACTTGGGTTCTAAGAATCAAACTTGGGTCCTCTGGAAGAGCAACTAGTGCCCTTAACTACTGAGCCCTCTCTCCAGCTCTCTACTTGAATTTTAGAATTTGCTCTTTTGGATGATTCTGTTGCTAATAATCATTAAAAATATTAAAGTGAAAATAAAATTCATAAATACAGTTTGGAACATATTTAAGTGTTTAAGAAACTAAGATTGTGAATGGATATAACTATATCTATATCCACACATACACACTATATGTGATATACAAAATATATACTATATATATATATATAATTTATAGGTTCCCCAAAACAAATTATTAAAATTTCTGAATCATAGTTGATTTTAAAATGGAATAAAAAAGCCACATCTCAAATCCCGGTTTTGAAATGAATTCCTGTGTGGCTGGCTTTAGGTTGAAAAACTAAGTAAATATTCTGTCGTTTTCAGGAAACTTGAGGGGGGAAAAAACATCTTAAACAACTGTTTGGAGCTACGGGGGAACGAGCGACCGCAAGCTTTAAGCCCTGCAGTGAAGAACTCGGAGAGGGCTGCCTTCTGTGGGAGCTGTAATTGTTTGTGGCAACATGGTCCAGAAAATATATTTGAACTCAACTACTACGAATGCAAACTCAGCAGTTCTTGACCTTCGAGAGTTTAAGCTTCCACGAATGAAGGAGGGATTTATTAAATATAAACATTAGAATGAAGTAACGAAGCTCAGCCTATAGAACAATGCTGATTTCTCTTTGCTGGCATGGGGACTACTAGTGAGAACTCATTGAAAAATAAAAAAATGTCTGGGCTCAAAGATATCACCAGTTGCTCTTTTTTTAAAAAACTTTTTAAAAATCACATTTGTTTATTTGTATGTGCACATGTCGCAGCGCACCTGTGGAGGTCAGAGGATAACTTGATGAAACTGATTCTCCTTACAGTGTGGGTCCCCGGAATTAAACTCAGGTCAGCAGGCTTGGCAGCCACTTCTCCATCGGCAAGCACGGTCCCACCCACCCCACCCCCATCACTCTTACAGCTTTACAGAGGAACGCAGTTCCACTGGTTCCAGGTACAAGGCATGGGGATATGTTTCACCATGGCGGCTATTCTCTGCATGGTGAAGTTAGCCTTCGCCACGTGTCCGTACATGGGGAAGCCGAGGTTATCTAGAGTCTGAATCTGGTGGCACATAAGATGATAAATGAGACCCTGACCCCGGTACTCAGGCGAGGTGCCTCCCATCCTCATTTCTCCAGTGTGGTCTACTAGGGCCCAGGACACCGGCATCCCCTCAGGCCCCATAATGCAGAAGCTGGGGAGGGTGAGGATACAGCGCTCAATGAACTTCCGGCTTTTCTCGTTGCCGCCGAAAGACCAGCTGCTGTCCACTAATGCAGCGTGTGCAGCATCCAGGGAGGCGAATTTGAACAACTTGCGGTCACTACAGAGAACAAAGAGGAAAGAGGAGTCCTTAATTACATAGGCTAGGAATAATTTTACCTATTTCCCCCTAAATATCTAAGGTCGCGTGCTCAGCCGTCAGACTGCCCCGGTTCCCTTCAACTCTTCACTTTTTGAGTTTCCTCAGCTGGTGAGGGCGGATAATAAGTAACTTTCATTGTAGACTAATGGGCCAGGGTGGTGGGGGCTCAGATTCAGTACTTAGCAGGAAGTAAAACTTCTCCAGTTTTTATTTGCCTGATACCACTACCTTTCAAGTTAGAGAGTTCAAATGTGATCAGTCTTATTTTATGTAAAAGGGGAAAAAAATTACAGATAAGCAGGTTTCCTAAAACACAGGTAGCAAGCAGAAAAGCCAAAGTTCGGAATCATAGAATTTGGTCTTGGGGTCCTTAGCCATCGTGATGAGCAAAAGAAAAAGTCAACTGCAAAGAAAGGCAGCGACGTGGAAGGAAGGCGGCCCTCGTCACTAAGTGGTGATGTCTGAAGACACCTGCAGTGGTGTGAAGGGGTTTCAGTAGTCATCCTGGCTCTCTGGAGGTAGAGCTAGCCACCCTATTTCAACTCCGGTTTGCCTTCCATCACCCGTGTGCTGAGGAAGCTATTGGATCATCCTGCTTTCTACCAAGAGCCTATACTGATCTCCTAACTCAAAGCAGGAGGAGACTTTCCAATAGATTCGAAATGGGCGTGTTCTCTAGGCTGCCGTGTTGGGGGTGTGGGTAAGCGTCTTCAAATCTCAGACCCAGTGCCAGCTGTCAGTTCTACGCACCGTCTTGTTGAACCTAAATGGGGGACAATGTAAAATGTGTCCAAGATCTTTTTACTAGAAGCCAGTTGTCCTTAGCAGCGAATTCACTGAACACATAGTTGTTCAAGATCTCCTGGGTGTCAGCCACTGAGTTTCCCAGCTCTTGTAGGCTTTGCATTATTATTAGAAGACGAATCAATCATTAAATCTGTAGAAGAAATTAATTCGTTTCAGATACCCAGGAGTGCTATGAGTAAAACAAAGCTGGGTCCTGTGACTTTTATTGAGTTGCTTTACCCAGGACTCTGATGAGGCAATTCGTGAGCAGATCTGGATAATGAAGTAAGTCATTAGTGTAAAGATTGATGTGCATGGGAGAGAGATGTTTTGGATAGAAAGGAGCTAATCTAGGAGGCCCAAGCTCTTGAAGGTCAAGTAGAAATGGCAGTAAACTTACATTACCTGAACTTTTCTTAATTACATGAACTTAATTGTACATTAATAGCTGCATTTAGCTTCAGCACTGGAAACAACATGAAATCACTCACACAAATGATTCAGGTCACTGAACCAATATTAGAGTGTTAATTAACTTCCTGAGAGAGAGAAGGAGAGAGCAAGAGAGTGAGTGAGTGAAAGGCAGAGATAGAGAATATAAATGAGGTTTCCTCTGCTTTAATCCTTTCCAAAATAACTAACTTGAAGTAACCTGATGTGAACTAATCTGTGAAACTCTCACGTATCTCTTTCTCTCCTATTTTACATATGAAATAACACTGAAATGGCAACACTTTTTGTTTGTGTTATTTTGTGTAAAGTCAACCTCTTCCTCTTCAGACTACCTCTGCTAGAACACCTCCTTTGGCAGAATGACTCAACCTCTGATTTTAGATTCCTATCTAAAAAGCAGCTCACATTTTTCCAAATGAACTTGTGTTATTTTTCACAAAGCCTACAAGTTTTGGAGGGAATAAGAGAAAAAGAAAGGTCTGAGAGGCAGGTGAAAATCTCCTCTTAGAGGGCTGAGGAATTCAGAAATATTTGAAAGCGTGTCAGGAAGCACTGAAATTTTGTAAGCAGGAGGAAGATGCAGTCCTTATTTAGATTTTACTCTGAGTAGGGAGCTCCTCTGCAGCGCATTAGTTCCTGGGGGAAAAGGTAGCAGACGCAGTGAGGGTGTGGAAGGTTCATTACAATTGTAAATTGCACGTATTCACTCATTTGTACGGTGTTACATGCTCCCATGTGAAGGTCAGAAGAAAACATTTGGGAGTTGGTTCTCTTCATCGTCTGGGACCCAGGGATTGACCTCAGGTAATCAGACTTGTCGGCAAGCACATTTAGTTGCTGTACCATCTGTCAGCCCTTTATGCAGATAGTCTTGTTTAGAAAAAGCTCCTTTGAAGACATGTTTAGGACTTCAGTATAAGCTCATCCCAATTATTTTGTTAGTCCCAATTCCAGTCTCCTCACAACAAACAAAAGAGGAAAGAAGGAACAAAAGACCCACAGAGAAAGAAGTCTTTTTAGAAAGTGAAGCAAGCAATGCATCTCAAAGCCAAGGGACTCTGGGATGTCACTAGGTATTGAAAGAGGCCATTAGGGACTCTATCCTGAGGATCCCACTTCAACACAGCCCTGCTCAGATCTTGATTTTTACCTTCTAGACTGCAAAGCAATGATAGATCACATGTGTACTGATTTTAGCCCAGTGCTTTAAGGTGACCTTTTAACGGTCACTTTGTAAATCTAACAAATGAGGCACGGCATTAATTAAAAGACTGATGGTGCACAACAGCTTCTTTCACACTTACAAAGGCTTGGGCTTGTTACTGCTGGCTACTAAGTTCTTCTCATCCACCAAGGCAGGAGTCAATTTCTTTGCTGTTTGAAATATCATATAGAGAAAACACTGTGTATGCTTGACCTCGCTCAAATTCATGGCTCCAAGACTTTCTATCACTTTTCCCAGGCTTGACTGTGTACCTTGATGAGGAAAATGAGGAAGCAAATGATATACCATTATTCATAGTAAGATTTGGGAAAGGCTACTCAGTGGAGTCAAAGGGAATATGAACATAGAATCATCGAGTCTTGTGTTAAACCATGACAGGCTTTATAAGATAAAGATTGTATGCCTCCCATTTTCCCCCTCCCATGATTTTGTTTTAATTTAAGTTTTGAATGGTATTAAAAATGCTGACTACATAAGAGTACAGTCATAGCTACCAAAGATGAGTTTGAGACATAGTAACTGAAATTGAACGGAAAATTTCTATGTACTCCACCCATTAAATTGTTACTATAAGATTCTCAGTTCCTTTTTATTGTGCAAATATGATTCTCTTCACCATGAATTGGCAATTGGCTTTTGTTCACTTGTAAAATTTGCATAGGATCATGGAAAATTGTGATATAGTAAACATGTTTCAGAGTGCACTGGGGTTAACTTTTATGCTCTCTTCCTGATCCTATAACATTTACCTGTCGCCCAATCCACTTCCATCCCTGTAGTTAAGAGTAGACAGTGTTATTATAAAATTCCAGATTTGGGATCATGATGAGCCTATTTTTATTAGCCAGCAGATAACCCCCGGATGACTGATCCCATATGTTTGAAACTATGTAAGACCAATAGAGATGCCTAGCTGAATATGATCCAAATTTCCTACCCATACAATCATAAGCTAAAATAAATTGTCATTTTGAACTGATATTGAGAAGGCTTGAAGTTCTATAAAACTAGGTAGGATATTCCTAAGATGTTTCCATTAATTGTCTCATTTAGTCCCCAAGGGTTCTATGTTTAAAAAAGTATTAAAATCATTTTTTCTTATTTTTTTTTAACATCCAAAGCAGAAGTAAATGACCCTTTACCACACAGCTAATTGGTTCAGTCAAATTTCAGTCAAGTAGCAGGCACAGATCTCTTTAATAAAAGTCTTTTGAAAACGTAACAATGTAATAAAACAAAGATGAAATGGTAGGATTCTTTGTTCCCATATTTATGTTATTTAATAGAATAGGGGGATACTAAAAAAAAGCTATAAGTCCTGAAGTAGAAAAATGTTACATTAGTTTTTTTTCTTTGTGAACTTTCCATACTGCAGCTCTTATGAGTTCCCTTTGAAGGGAGTAGATGCTGAGCCAAGGAACAGCCAGCATCATGATAAGTGTCTGTGGCTTGCAAAAAAAGCACATGACATGCAAGGTGCTTGTTCCAAAGGAGCAGTGGTTCCTACCATGTGTGCACAGGAGGTCACAATAGCCCACATACACCCCAGTTTTCTTACTCTGAATTTGCAAATGCTGTTTCCAGTTAATGACTTCTGATGCGCTAAGAACTTCCTGACAGTGCTTGGGATCCTTGGAGTAGATGAGGTAAGTGTTGTTGTAGTTGTCAAGGTCATCTGTCATGTCCTGTTTTAGAAAAGAAGAATCAACTAAAAGGTTTATGGGTGGTGTGGTGTTTGTTATATTGGCATTCAGTATTCAGTCACCTGGTGAAATCTAAGAATATTAAAAGCAGTTCCTGTGGGTTTATGTCGTACTCATTTACAATGTGAAGTCAAGAGAAAAAGCCTTGACTCAATTCAAAGAAAAAAAAAAAAAACCTAACTCAACTCAAGAAAAACCAGAGTGTTATAAAATTCAATTAGAAGAGTCAAAAATAACAAATTGAAAGCAAAACCCTTAGGAAAAAGAATATTTTTTTCCTCTGGGCTATGAATGATCTGGCATTAAATCTACAGTAAAAATCATCACAAAGAGGAAACCAAAGATAAAGCTAATGAACTAGCTATTTCTTCAAAAGTGGCTTTTTATCATTAAATGAATGACAACCCCATAAAGCAAATAGCTTGTGGGTGTGGGGAGCCATGTAACTGAGGGGAGCAGCCTAAGAGCGAGAGTGAAGTCAAGGAGTGTCCAAACCCCGACAATCTTGTCTTAGAGACCAGCAGGGGTAGGCGTTCTCCCTCCCTGCCCTGGGACTGCCTTACATCTCCCATCTCTACCACGTCATCATTTATCCTGGTGGCTAGGCTACTGGTCAAACCTTCTCTCTCCTTATAAGCACCTGGAATTCCTCTTCATGCAAATAAGGCATTCCCAGCACCCTGGCCTTGGCCAATGATGTGAACTCACCCCAAAAGCCTCTACTCACTCCCCAAATGTTTAAATAGCCTGTTTCCCCAAATGAAGTGAGATAGCCCACTGAAGCTATCTCGGGAGAAGAGTCACTGCCAACCAAGATTCTGCACTGCACCCACCCGACCCTGCTAAGCTTCCCCCCTCCTGCTCTGTGAGCAGTCAGCCAGGGTACCCTGAGGGGAAAGCAAACCTGCGGTGGCAAGAAGTGAGCAGATGTTCATATATGTGGAACCAGTTTGCAAAGCAGTAATGGGACAACTTAAACACAAAGAAATACATCACAGAAATACTATTCCCATTAGTGCATAGTCTGAATGCTTCTATTACTCCAATTTTAATGAAATATCTTAAAATGTATAGTCAAATGTAAATCAAACTGTTGATTTTCTTGCTCCGACTTATAAAATATTTAAGTCATCTTCAAAATTCATGTTGGCAAAATTTTTCACTTGGAATGGAGAATAAACTCTGATAATCTCCCTGTAGCATCAGCTACCTGTAGCTCTTTTTTTTTCTTTTTCTTTGTTTTATTGACTTGGTTATAGGTAATTGATGTAAAGGCAGTACATCTCAGTGGAAAGCCAATATTACAATGAAAAGCTGTCGTAGAGTGAGAAGGAGTTGAATTGTTTTAAAGATAGGAAATATGTTTTACCCTAGCATAATAGTTGACAATGGAACTAATAATTTGCTTGTTACAATATACAAGCCTGGCATAGCAAATGTTTTTCTTACTTATTTTATTTTGTGGCTATGAAGGTTTTATGCCTGCAGAGGCCAAGAGAGAGCGCTAGATTCCATACAACTAGAGTTACTGACAGTTGTGGGGCACTACATGGGACCTGGGACCAAAATCCCAGTCCTCTACAAGAGCAGCATGTGTTCTTCAGCACTGAGCCATCTCTTCAGCCCGCAGGAAATGTTTTTACCTTATAATAAAAGGTCAAACTATTCTTTGTGTCCCAACATGATCTTAAGTTGGTATGACCTTCCATCAGTTTCCTATAACTCCTACAATTAATGCAAGAAATGATAAAGTATCCTTGAAGTTCAAACCAGCCAGTGCAGATTAAAGAAACTATGCTGGCAAGCAAAAAGAAAGAAAGAAAGAAAGAAAGAAAGAAAGAAAGAAAGAAAGAAAGAAAGAAAGAAAGAA